GGGGCTCCATCTCAGACTCAGGGGTCACTTAGACTATAGACTTTTCAGACTTATTTCCGGTGGTTTAAAGTAGCGTTCCCACTGTTTTTGAAATATTGAAATCATCACCGGAGAAAGCCAGTGTATCTCTCGTAGGATGGACCAAATACGGTGTGGCTGTCCTCGGAGAGCTCATAGTGACTGTACCGTATTGCTTACAGGAAGCTCTGCGTTCCATCTGCAGCACCACATATATTGGGTATGGTAGTGAAATGTAATCTCAGCATTCAGGAAGCGGAGGCAGGAGGATCGGATGTTCAAGGTCATCCCTTGGCTACGAAGAAAGTTGGACACCAGCCTGGGCTCCATGAGGCTGAACCTGAAGCTCACCAATTTGGCTGGACTAGCTGACCAGTGAGCTCCAGGATCCTTCTGTTTCTGCCTCCTCAGTGCTGGGGTTACGGGTGTGTTCTACCTTGCACCACTTTCAGCTGAGCACCGGGGACCTGAACTTGAATCCTTTCACTTGTGCAGTGAGCACTTTAACAACTGAACCATCTCCCAAACTCCCCATTCTACATTGGAAGACCATCTCCCTGGCTGTTATATACTGAATATATTGAGAATTGATTAGAAAAGTGTGGGGTGTGTGTGTGTGTGTGTGTGTGTGTGTGTGTGTGTGTGTGTGTGTATTACAGTCATGGTCCACTTACGAACATTATTCTGCCCCATTTCTTAGGCCCAAAGGGAAGGGAACTGTTATTGGTTGAAGTTGAATGTGTGTGCTTCCAACCATAATCTCAGTGGTTCAGATCAAAAGCTTTCCCTAATCAAGTGAGATAGGTTTTCTTTGCTTGTTGCCAGGCAGGCTAGGTCTGCAGCAAGTCGGGCCCTGGAATCCGGAGCAGAAAATTGTTTGAACGACTGCGATGGAGAGTTTTTCACTCAGGAGAGCTGTAAGGCTTCTGCAGAGTTGGCCACCAGGGAAGCAAGTGGCCAGGAGCAGAGGCTTATCTGCTTTGTTAATATCTGCCCTGGTCTCCTGCTGGACACTCAGGTCACATAGGGTGACTGTCTGCCCAAGCTTTAGAACACTGCTTTGTATATGAAGTCACCAATTTCAATCAAGCAAGGAACAACAAGGAGTTGAGTCAAGAGAGATAGTGCAGTGCCCAAATCTTGGCTCTGCCATTTGAACAGATTGAGGGACCGTGGCCATGTGGCTCCATCATTGTTAAGGATGGCCAAGAGCAAAAGACATCAGTATGGACCACCTTCAATCATGCCTACGAAGGGATTCAAACAGTGGAAACATGTCCACCAACTGCTATAATGCTGGAGATGGGACAAAGAGTCTAGCATGTGCTGGGAATTTAAGCCTGAGCATCTACCACTGAGTTATCAATATCCCCCTTGATAACTAAAGGCTAAAGCCAGCTTGACACAAACCTAGATACAATTGGGAAGAAGGAATCTGATTTGTCTCCGTCTCATTTCCTGGTGGCCACATCTGTGAGACATTTTCCTAACTGCTATCATGCAGGAGGACCCTTCCCACTGTAGGGAAGTACCATCCCTAGGCAACTATACCTGCGCTGTAGGCGAAAGGACACTGAGCAAGCCAGAGAAGCAAACGAGCGGGTAAATGGCATTCCTCCATGGTCTCTGTTTCGGCTCTACCTTGGCTTCCCTCAGCGACAGACTACAACCTTTCCTCTTTCAGGTTGGTTTTGGCCAGTGTTTTATTACAGCAATAGAAACCAAATGAGAACGATGCATTTGTCATTTCACTGGAGCCTAGAAAAGCCGCCAGCTTGACGCCAGCCTTTGTGTATGGAGCTATTCCTTTAGAGAAAATTCAGAGCTGAATTTTGCTGAAATTCATCTCTCCAGGAATAAGTTACTCACCAGCATAATGAAGAACCTCAAATTGAGTTCTGGAGAAACAGTTCAGCAGGTAAAGTATTTCCCTTGGAAGCGTGAGGACCTGAGTCTGACCCCACAGAACCTACATAAAAAAAACTGGGCACAGTGGCATCCTTGTGAACACACCAGTAGTGGAGATGTGGAGAATGTCAGATTTCTGGGCTTGATGATCAGCCAGCCTAGTGGAACTGATGAGTTTCAGGGCAGAGAAAGACTCTTGCCTTAAAAACACAAGGTAGAGCTGGGCGGTGGTGGCCTTTAATCTCTGAGTTCAAGGCCAGTGTGGTTTACAGAAGGAGTTCCAGAACAATCAAGGCTACAGACAAACTCTATCTTGAATGCCCCCCCCCACAAAAAAAGAGAAAGAAAAGAAAAGAAAAGGGAAGGGAAGGGAAGGGAAGGAAAGGAAAGGAAAGGGAAGGAAAAAAAAGAAAAGTCAAGTCAAGACCAAGACGAAATGCTTGAGGAATGACAGCCAAGGCTGGTTCCTGGCCTCCACACACACATGCCCATGCATTCCTTATGTACCCATGGACATAAAGAGAGAGACAGAGAGAAAAAGAAGTGGAAAGGCTAGCTAAATGCATCCTGAGAGAGACTGGGGTTTTCTGCGGACATACTTGAGTTCAGAGGTGAACAGAGAGCTCCAGCAAAGACCAGGCAGTAAATGCTGTTGCCTCTGTAGGTCAGCTGGTCTTTGCCACAATTACTCAACTCTACAATTTTAGTACAAAAGCATCCACAGACAAACAACAGGCATGGCTGCTCTCCAATAAAACGTTATTTACAAATACAGACAGTGGGCTGGATTCAGCACATGGGTTAGGGGGCACCAACTCCTGACACAGTTTAGAAATGGGCATCTACCTGTCTGCAGGCTGATCTGTATTTATCAGATGTGCACAGGTTTGGCCATTCTCACACTCAGAACCAGCTCTTGGCATGGCAATTCTTAACCGGCCTGGTAATGATATCAATGATAGCAACATTTAGCTACACTGTGAGATGTGCTAAACACTACTGAGGGGTCCTGTGAAGAAAACAAGCCAAGAGATGGGTGTGTGGTGCTCCTGTTGAATCCCTGAACCAGAAAGACTACGACAGAGGGATCTAAAGTTCCATGGCAGCCTGGGTAACACAAAGACTCTGTTTCAAAATACAAAACAAGGTTGATCATGGCGGCTCGCAGGAAGTACTTACCTCAACATCTGTAATCCCAGACAGTTGGGGGAGTCAAATGAGGCAGGAGGATTGCTAAGAGTTTGAGGCCATCCTAATCTATGTACTAATTATTACTTGACCAACTTAGGCTGTGTAGTGTCTAGTCAGAAAGCAGAGGTGAACAGGAAGCAGGGCAGGGCTACGAATCTGAACCCTCCAGGCCTCCTCTAGTGAACTACTTCCTCCAGGGAGGCACCACCTCCTAAAGGCTCCAAACTTTTCCAAAATAGTAGCAACAGCTCAGGATCAATACAACACATGAGCCCATGGGGACATTCACCTTACAACTTACACTGTCTGTACACACATAGGATGACAGTCATTTCCTGAAGTTCTGGGTTTGAACTGAGACCTGCCACATGATGTCACCGGTAGACTCCCCCCACCCCCAAATCTCCCAGCACCATGTAACAAGTATTTGGGATTTCAAATTTTTTAGTTAGGAATATTCAACTTGTGATAAGACATAAAGAATACTATTTTATGAGGGCAGAGGTCCTCAATCTTGGCATCACTGCCAATGTATGTCAGAACCATGCAGAGAACCTTCCTATGCACTATGGGATGCTTATAATATTCCTCACCTGCATCCACTGGATACTACTACTACCCAGACATGACAATCAGGATTGCCGGGAGACACTGCGGGATCACCCACTGGCGGTGGGAGGCAGTGACACTGTCCTTAGTTGAGAACCATTCTACTATATAGTACAGAGTCAGGCTGTCTACAATAAAAACCATCATCTGGAAATAAGTCGATGTCCACCATAGCCACTGGGACCCACAAGATGGCTTAGTCCACTAAGCCTGCCAACCCAAGTTTAATCTCCAGAACCTGGAACTCACATGGTAGAAGGAAAGAACTGACTCCTTCAGGTTGTCCTCTGATCTCCACATGCATGTATAAGCCATTCACACACACACACACACACACACACACACACACACACACACACACAC